TTTTACACCCTTGGGGTACACGGCAGATAAGCCATGTTGACAGGTACACACAGTTTACAGCCAGCTCCGACATGCCCCTCAGATTACGTGTGTGTGTAGTGTTATTCTCCCTCCATCTCATCGCTTCATTCTCCCTCATTTAGTATGTGGAAAGTTGTGCAGTGCTTGACCATAATGTGAGGGTTTATAGACAGTCAGGTATGTATTGTTTACATTTGTGCGAACAGAGTGACGTCACAGACCACACACACAGTGTCAGGTTTAGTGAGCTGTATCTACCACCCTCTCTCCCGGTGAGTAGTTTCCTCTCTCCGACCCTACTCCTTTCTGGGGATGTTGAGTTGAATCCGGGACCAACTCCAGGTTTAGATAAGCTGAAGAAAGCTAATATTGCTCAGATAAAGGATTCGGAAGATAGATTGTCGAAAGACATATGTTCAATAAAAGTGGACATATAATCTATGAAAACTGATATCAATGAATTAAAGAAAGATGTAAGTTTTACTAAACAAAATCAAGAAGAAGTAATCAACATAGATATTGATGCTCTTAATCACAAGACTATAGAAAAGGAGAGAGAGTTAGAAGACTTAGCAGCACGTGTTGAGGACCAGGAGCAGCGTAGTAGACGCAACAATCTGATGGTGGTGGTGGTGGAATTGGGTTTAACGTCGTGCTTGAGAATATTTCGCTCATATGACGACGTGCATGCGTGTGTATGTGTAGGTGCGGCTGCTTGTACTAGCCCAGACTGAAGCTGGTTTTATAGTGCTAGCTCACTGAGATACCATGCCGCAGTGAAGCATGAATACCCCACTCAGACACATTATACTGACTCCGAGCCGACCAGTCCTTGTTGTACCCATTAATGCCGAGCGCCAGGCAGGGACCAACAAGTACCATATTTTAACGTCTTTTGGTATGACGCGGTCGGGTATCGAACCTGCGACCTTCCGCACTCCGGCGGACGCTCTAACCACTACACCACGGAGGCGGTCCCGCAACAATCTGGCGTTGTATGGTGTACCAGAGAGTGGGGATAAGGAGACAGACACTGAAAGTCAACAGAAAGTGTTAGGCGTACTTAGCAAAGCACGAGTAATGAGAGATCTCCCACCCATCGTCCCTGCGACATAGTACGAGCCCACAGGATAGCCACCAAACGAAACGACAAGACAAGACCCATAATAGCCCGCATGTGTCATTGAGTGGGGATTGCCAATGACCTAACTTGTCATCAACGTCAAGAGCTGCATCGACTCCGCAGTGAGAACCCCCACACTCGATACCACAGGGGTTCGAATCACTGTTTGGACAATAATTTTAAAAAATAAAAATCTAGATTTTTGCAACCGTATATTGTTTGTATATGTTATGCGTAACTAATATTTCATATTTGAACGAAATCGGTGAAGAAATGGATTTTTTAGAAAATTCTCCCGCTACACTCATTACATAAAATACACAAGGGATGACACTCGCCATGCTCAGAGCCTGATCGAAAACCGCACGGCGCGACTATTTTAACGTGCGTTCGATCAAACCTGACGTTTTTCACAAAACAACGTGTTGAGCTTGTAGATTATTCTTTTGGCCTTCTGCTCATCGTATTTAGTTCGTCTAACTGCATTTCATATTTGACCACTGACCCTTGCATTACCACTACCCTCCGTTTTGAACAAACGTCTGGCCGCCCTTCGGTAAACATGGCGTTATTGACTACATAATTTATTCATCAACAATATTCGACTATATTCTAGATTTTAGCATACAAACGAGAATTGAATCTGATCATCTTCCCATTACAATAAAACTAAAAACAGTACAACTTGAGAAATCTAACACATCTACCAAATGTAGGAATAAGTCGTTTAAGTTTTTTTTGGGATAAATAAGAACAGTTTAGAGAAAATATTTTGTCAGATAACGTACAAGAATTATTAGATAAATCGATTGATTGTGTCATCGCTAATATTGATGATAGTATAAGCTATATGATCGAGGCACTTTGTTTGGCCACTCCAAATTCTTGCATGAAGAAAACAGTTAGCCCTCCCTCAACAACTAATAAATGGTTTGACTCTGAATGTGAAAGATTAACATCAGACCGATATAGAGCTCTGGATAAGTTTAGGAAAGATAAAGAATCATACGATCAATATTGCGCTTTAAGAAATAAATTTAACTCAATTTGTAAGAAAAAACGCCTCAATTATTATAAAGAGAAACAGAGAGGAGTAGAAAACAGTACATGTATATCTGATTAAAAAACATTCTGGTATGAACTCCAAGATCTGAGTACTAGACGTGAAGCTCAAAACAATATCGTAATGAATGACTGGCTAGAACACTTTCGGACACTCTTTAACTCTTTACACAATGAAAATGACGATGTAACATATGATAATTTGGAGAATGAAAACCCATCAGATCCGAATTCAGAACTTACCGAGGTAATACTTGATTACCCAATTAAAATCTTAGATAGCATTAACCAATTGAAATGTAATAAATCACCAGGGATTGATAAAACAATATCTGAATTTTTGGAATACTCAGCAGATCTCATCATTCCATACTTAGACTTGCTCTTTAATTTGATATTAGAAAATGGTATGCATAAACAAGGTAACATAAATAATCCAAATAAACAGAGGCGTAACACTACTGAACATATTTAGTAAAACTTTCACTTCTATAATAAATAAACTGGGAAGACTCACTGGATAAGATCAGCGAAGCGCAAGCTGGCTTCAGACAGGGGATATACGACAGTAGATAATATGTTTATACTACAAAGTATTCACAGCAAAAATAACTTGGTTTCCGCAATGCGGAAACCTGGTGGAAAGTGAACTGAAACTTAAGTTCCACCTAGAATCCAGTGAGTTTCCGTTCTTTTACATTGAGTTTCCGCAATAACGGAAACTTACAATTACCCACTTTCTAAGGGTTTCCGCAAGGTTTCCGTTACCCACACTCCAACAGGTTTCCGCAAGGTATCCGTTACCCACACTCCAAGAAGTTTCCGTTGAGTTTCAGTTAACTTTGAATCCATCAGGTTTCCGCAAGGTTTCAGTTATTAAGACTCCAACAGGTTTCCGCAGAGTTTCAGTTACCAACAATCCGACATAGTTTCCGCATAGTTTCAGTTACCAACAATCCGACATAGTTTCCGCATAGTTTCAGTTACCAACAATCCGACATAGTTTCCGCATAGTTTCAGTTACCGGTTTCAATTTCAGGTTCACAGGTTTTCACATGCGTTTCAAAGAGCTAAATGTAAACATTCTTCTTTATTCATATCATAAACTCGTGTTAAAAACAATATAAGTAATTTGTTATTATCATGACATTTACTTAAAGAAAAACAGAATATATAATAAGATTCATTGTTTTATTTTCTCAACATGAATATGAATTAGCATTTAAGGCAAATAAAGATCATACATATAACTAGTAATATAGCACTAAAGAACAGGGCAAAACATTTTGGCATTACTCACTCCAGTTTAAGAAATCATATATCATTTATAACAAAGTAGTAATGTTTCATCAGTTAAACTTTCATTCACTTATTATCTTGAAATAGCATGTTAGATATGAAAGTTATTTCTAAAATCATGCTAATGGTGAAAAATAACAATAACATACAACTTAACACAGTAATAAAACATAGCTGCATCGGACATTTATTTGCACGCCTTGGCATTCAGCCACACACTCTATGTCACAACTATCGCCAAACATCCACTATGATATACATCATACAATAACACAACATACAGCTTACAATACAAAATTAAAATAAAATAAAAATTACATTATGAAATTGAAAATAAATTCAATTAAATTGCAAGAGTTGGTCAGTTAGCCCAATAAGGGGCATCCCTGGGCGGACATCCCTCTGTTACTTTGGTTGGATGCCTCATCCTCGTCCTCATGTTGGCCTTGACGAGAGCAGTGGAGGTGTAGATTCTTTCCAAGTCCAGTGTCGTCGTGTATACCCTAAGCTTGCTGGACTCCCAGACAAAGGGGACGGAATGCAACTAATTGACGTCATCTTCGTCACTCACGACTGGTGACGTCATGTCTATGGTGAGTGTTGTCGCTACCTTTTTCTTTCGTCTATCTGGCCAATCGATAGATGCAAGTCTGTTTAGGCGTTGTGCAAGTTTCTGAAAATGGCAGGTAATAACGAATTACTATGTTATTTTGATTAAATTACACAAACATCAATCAACAAGAAACTGACAATGCCAAGGATGATTTAAAATGAGTAATCCAAAAGGAAGTTTGAATAAAAGAGAACTAAATTGACAATCACACTTTGCAGTAGTTTTCTCAAAACTCAAATTATGCAATTCATCACCCTTCATAGACCGAATGAAATATCTTATTTTCTAAAGAGGACACACAATCTATACAAAATTTGTTCTGGAGTTACATGCTTCCCAGACCAGAGGTAGTAATACGTTATATATATTACATATCTGAAGATTTATTGCATTTTCTATATAGTAATAATGGTTCTAGTAATAGATTTTCATCAAATTGCTATATTCAATTTCTTACAGATCGTATTGTTGAGCCCATTTCTGGTGTCCCCGCCGTGATGTTGCTGGAATATTGCTAAAAGCGGCGTTAAACCAAACTCAGTCAGTCGTATTGTTGAAGGCACAAGTATATTCACCCAGTAGTGACTGTATGTTTACACCATTAAGTCTTTGAGGTGTATTTAGAAGTGAATAATACAAGACATGAATGTTTACGGATGTCAACGTCTTTATTATGTCAAAACACAATGTTTCAGAGTGAATGCTTACACCTGACGAAGGGGTAAGCATTCACTCTGAAACATGTTTCCACATAATAAAGGAGTTGACATCCATAAACTACTGTCTCTACACTATTAATTGGAAATTATTTACTATTTATAATGAAAGTCACTACAGATAGGTCAAAATTACCTTCACATGTTCCTGCTGACCATCCTTGGTCATTCATTATACAGATCTCCAGACTCATCATCGGCTTTGCTGAAAAAAAAATAAACAATAACACGTTACTTTTCTTTGCATTTCCCCATTCATTCATTCGAGTTTTAAAAAAAACCCAAACAATTGCAGCGACATTTATACCAACAAGCAAACTACAGATTTATCACTTTAGGTTATGCAATCAGTAAGTGAACGGCCTGACATGAACATCCTGATGAATGAAGCTTAGTTATCTCATGTGACATAACCTTGGAGTAATTACGGTATTGTAAAATCAAGGGGTCACTTTGACTGCAATTTCACACAGGTGTGAAGTTAAGATTTATTTGGTCCAATTTGAAATCATGATTAAGTTACCGGTTATTCAAATCCATTTGAAAATGTAACTTTAGTTCATTTTGTGAAAATGTATCTAGGGGAGCATAATAATAAAATTTTCAAAGTGAAATTATGTCTATGTTTCGTAGTACCATAAACACATACCTTCAGTAAGAGAGGGGGATCTTTTCCTCCAGTAGTAGTCGTGACACGTTTCCTCACAACAGCCTAAATGAAGAAAACAAATCCATCAATATATAATCTATTTGCTATATTTTTCAAAATTGTAGTATATTTTTAGATAGACACTTATTTTACTTCACCAACCTTTGAAAATAGTTCGAGCAAAACTGTTTATATGTCAGTCGGCAAAATTCTCATAGACTTGCATGCTATTTTAGTGTAGCTGTGTAATTTTCATTAATTCAGTTTTCCATATTTGGTTGCCAAATTTTGCAGGTCGTTAGGAAATCATCTTGGTCGCAGATACATAATTTTCCTCATTGTAGTTACATTAGCAACATATATACAACATTGCGTATTCTTTCCCCATAGACCACCATGTTAAAAATTGCCATAACCATGACACGCACTGAATTGAAAATAAAACGGAAATTATGTCTTTGTAGCTGAGATGATTCATGACCCACGTGCAAAATATGAACAATATCAAACGGATATTAAATAAATTCAAGACATATTTCTAGCTGCCGAATTTAACATGTAAGTCGAATAATGCATAGTGACGAATACCTGGCCAGTGGCTGTAATTCGATCGATTAGCTTGTTTACCAATCCGGATTTCTGTACGTAAAGTGAATAATTCATAAAACGTTATTTGACAACAAAATAAATTGGACTTACCTGACAGGATCGTGGTACTGCGAGTTTTTCGCAGCCTTTTCCATCTTTCTTTTCCAGGTAGCGAATTCTCTCGTCCAGTGCTTTGAGGGTAACTGAGTCGGCTATGAAAATGGCGTCTCGCAAAGACTTACGGGAAAAACACTTTGTTGTTGTTTTTTTAATCTAAATCTAACATTACAGTTTGACAATATCTTTCCGCGTTATACAACAAAATAAACATACACTATACACATAAAATGTCAGCTGTGTGTTTTTATAATGATTTAGGTAGTCTCGCGTGGACGTGATCCGGTCGCCATTGTTTTATTTGTTTACATTGCCGACATCAAAGGGGACCGTGAAAGGTGGAAATGAGCAGATTGAATGTGAGTACCCAAAGTGACAACAGTGGGCTGTTATGGGCTTAAGGGTCTTTTCATCTCATTATGGGCACTAATTGCTCCTCCTCAGTGTCAAGCATCAACATGTAGGCCTAGAGATAATTAACAGTGAATAAATCTGAAAACATATTCACGTTACTCTAAAAGTCCTGATCGAGCTTCATGAGTCCTACTCATGAGAACTTGTGTTAGTGGCAAATAGGTGATTTTTTCAAAACCCTGTCAGGAGTAGGCAATTTACGAAAATATTCCTGCTGGACGTAAAACTTCATCATGTAAGTAAGTTACCTATTGAGCTCAAAACATGCAAGTGTATTAGACATGATTATATCATGTTCATTCTTTTCAGTTCTACACCTAGATCTACGTATACTATTCCCAAGTATTATACGTTTACTTATCTAATTTTGCAGTATATATTACTAGTTTATATGTAATGTCAGCTCAATATATCTAAGTGAGTGAGTTTAGTATTACGCCGCACTCAGCAATATTCCAGCTATATGGCAGTATTTATCCAATTATACCAGTTCATCTTTTTTTTATCATTTCATAACCATTAAAACAATTATTACATATGCTTTACACTCATAGCTTTGTGTAATAATTTGTGTAATCAATTATTAAACCTCTTAGCCTTACAATGCATTGACACAAGTCACGTATAACATTTCTAAAAGAATCATTGTTTCAATTATTTGATTTACAGATACGTATTGTGGATCCAGTGACTTGTTGGAGATTGACAAGAGGCTTGGCTTGGTAATCATTTATAGTTATGCCATGCTCCTAATTTCATTAAAGGAAATCTTAAAACAATATTCATCAGCATTTAGTCAAAAACAAGTAAACACTAAATAGATACATATAATAAATTTCTTTTATCTTTGTGAAAATATAATCACCTCAAAATGTAACAGTGCGTGGATTCCAGTGTAATCATATAAGTTGATGTGTTTTTCAGTTCCAAGAAAAAGACCCAGTTTTCTGTCCGCACTGCCAGTCGTTTGTTTCAAGAAACAAGGAATCCGTCTGGAATGGACGGCAGTTTCTCATCAGGTTAGTCGTCAAAGATACTTCACAGGTTTCACTTAACGATTTCAGTTTGATCTGTCCCTTTGCTATCAATCATATATCAATAATGAATATATTTAATTATTGTATATCAGATATGTAACTGTAACTGAAAGTGAATAAGTTGTGTTACACATTTTACAGTTTTTAAATTAAAGTAAATGTCACATTAAAAAATAATATTTTATGTTATTATATTGCTGTGAATGTTTCCTTAGAGGGTTGATAAAACTAAGAAATACCCACGATTTTTCATTCATGGGAAATGTTAGGTTTTGTATACTTTTCTCAGTTGAGTTGGTCATTTCAATTTGAATAAGATCACATATATGATCAGGTGTTACATTCAGTGTTTAAACATGATTCGTATCTATTTAAAATATGTATGTGCCGTTTTACCTATGCTTAGATTTCAATTGGCGATTTGGTAGTAGATGTTACCTCGAATATGAGTACAGTAACAGTAATAAATATTACCACAATTTGCTTCAGAATACTGGGTTGGCTACTATTTTCTGGTACCAATCAATCAAATAAGTGGCATGTTCAATGGAAGATACAATATACATGTATACTACAGATCTTTCCTTTGTGATTGTGAAACAAATCTTTTGGTTACATCTACAAATTAGTCGTTCAAATTTTATAATTTCATTGTGATCAGATGTACCACTGTGCATGTTTTCTTTGAATATGCATACATGTGTTACTTTGGCTTTTTGTAGTTTTTACTTAAGCATTGTATGTATTGTATTTGCAGGATGATGCAACGATGTTGTGCCAGACATCAACCAGGACTCGTCATATTCACCCACAGATCTTAAGTAGAGCATACATCATCTGTTTGCGGTTGTGGACTGGTTCAAGCCTTGTTGTAATCAACTTGGTTATATTTCCCCTTTCTCTGCGTGGCAAAACAAATGTCTCAACTCAGGCTCTGCTTCATATGTGTACCAGATCGAGGATTGCTGTCTGCTCAGTACCATGGAGTGCAACAAGAAGCTTCATGATTGTCAGCAAGTTGCCAAGTCTTTACTATGTGAGATTGTTAGTGTGTATATGTTAAGATACATTGAGGCAGCTTCAAATGTACACTTCATGTATATGTATATGGGCCCATGACCTTTCATACAATAAACATTTGAATTTGAAATCTTTTTAATAAATACCACAGCAAATATGTTATGCCTGCACTAGTAGACCTCATTTCAACATATGCATAAAATGTTGTAGGGTTTTGACATATTTGTATTTGCATATTCATACAGAAGTTGTGTTCTCCAATGCTGAAGATTCCCTCTTGATGTGACTTCATTACATACATACATACATACATACATACATTGTTGAGTTCTGATGAAAATAATGAAACAGATGAATCATAACAGTGACTGTGTTACTGTGTTTGTTGTGTTACTGTGTTTGTTGTTTTTCGTGTAAAATATAATAAATGGTACATTCACAAGTTATGCAGAATGGTAGTGAGTGAGTTACAAAGTCACATCGGCAGCCATATCGTGACTATGAAAGTCGTAACTCTAAATTTGTAAATGTGTACATGAAATAAAAACAAACTTATATACCTACCTGTCTTCGAAGGACATTAAAATAACTAATCTGTCACAAATGTACACTAAAAACTGGCATGTAACCATAAACACTTTAACGGTACAGTATAAAAATGGGCTATAGATTGCCAACACCTGAGGGTTGATGAACATACTAGGGACTACGGCACGTACAGTACTTTTGCTTCCTGCATGGACCCTAGCTGGATTCTGTATATAGAAATTATCTTGCAAATGGAACAGTAAGTAAATATAGTTCCCCAATGGAACAGCACAAAGCTAAGTTTGCCATTTCATCTAAGCTGAAACCAACAGAAACCTAGCGGAAACCTACATTACCCAGTATCCAATAGGTTTCCGCAATAGCGGAAACTAAGTCATTTTGCTATGAATGTTTCAGCGAACTGAAACTAAATGGAAACGCATAGTAATAGTTTCAGTTGTAGAAACTTGACGGAAACCTAGATTTGTTAGTTTCAGTTTTGTAAACTATGCGGAAACTCGCATTGTCTGTTTCCGGATACTGAAACCTAGCGGAAACCTACATTACCCAGTATCCATTAGGTTTCCGCAAGAACGGAAACTAAGTTATTTTTGCTGTGATTATTTAAAGGTATTTAAACTCAAAATGGGGAAAATTCTATGCATGATTTGTACATTTTTCAAAAGCTTTTGATTCAGTACAGCGAAACAAACTTTGGCTTCTATTTTAATACCCACGGCCTCAGTGTTAAAATGAGTAAACTTTTATGCAATATGTATTGAAAATGTATTAAAAGGCCTGTATTAAAAGTAATCATATTTGCTCAGAAACATTTGACTTGCAACTTGGTGTAAGACAAGGCTGTATACTAAGCCAATTTCTATTTTCTTTTTTCATAAATGAGTTAGCACGACAAGTCGAAACTAATTGTGTACACGGGATTCAACTCCACCCTGATATAGTTAATATTTTCCTATTGTTATTTGCAGATGACATTATTTTGTTCTCAAGCACGATTAATGGCTTACAGAATCAAATTAATGAACTTGAAGGTTACTGCGATAAATGGAAATTAACTGTAATTAATAGTGAAAAAACGGAAATTATTGTATTCAAAAAGGGAAGCAAGCTGGTTATATAAACGTATGAAGCTGGAGTGTATTGGCTTTTATAAATATTTGAAATTTTATTTCACCAGTGGCCTGTCATGGACGATGCATGTTAAATATGCAGCGTTACAGGGACAAAAAGCATTAATTGGAATTATGAAACACCTGGGTGTACTTGGTAATATTAACTACTCTTCATTCCTTAAAATATTTTATGCCAAACTTAGTCCAATTCTATACTCAGCAGCAAAAAAGCGTCAGTACGAAATCAAATCATTACAGAAATGGACATAATAAGCGGATCAAAAACATGTTTTTGTGTACAATATCCTGGCACATCAATGAATAACTCAGCACAATTCCAAGACATTACACGAACGTTTGCAGTCCATTCAGACTCTTGACTTCAGTATCTAGTGTGACCACCACAAGCGGCAATAACTGCAGCACAGCGTCTATGCATGGAGTGCACCAATCGATTAATAAAGGCCATTGGCACCTGGAACCACACTCTGAGAAAGGCCTGGCGCAATAAATCGGCTGTGTTCGGCCTTGGTATGACATTATTCAGTCTCCTCTGAATTTCATCCCAAAGATGTTCAATTGGGTTTAAATCAGGACTAAGGGCTGGCCACTGCATAATGTTGACAGCGTTTTGCTGTAGGAAGTCCCGTGCAGCTCTGGCAGTATGGGCCCGGGAGTTATCATGCTGGAAAATGTTGTTCCGGTGACGTGCGAAATGTGGTAAGACGTCTGACGTCTGAGAGCTTGGTCGATGTAGTGCACCGCTGTGATGCCGCCTCCTCTCCCTGGACCAAGGTTCTGGAACACCACAGGACCCAATGTCTGGTTCAGGCCTATTCCACCCCATACCATGATGCTTGCACCTCCCCATGATTCTCTTTCCATAACCTATTGGTCTGAGTA